GTATATTTCTCATATTTATAACTATTATAAACGCATATACTTAAAAATACCCAGTACACTCCACAGATACACCCTTTTCAAGGGCGTTTCTGCGAGCACAGATTTTGTTTTTATTTCCTTTATTACTTTAATCCCAGACCCCGCCGGACGGTGTCCGTCATTTTGTTGAATTTCTTCAGATTTCACCTTATCGTTTGTTTACCGTGATAAGAACAGGCCCTGTCAACAATCCTGCTACTATCTCTGTAATAAATTAAATCCCAGCACCTTTTCTCCTATCGTCCACCGACAAATCAAGTTATAAAACGGTATAAACAACTACGAACATTTCCACGAACGGTCATTATTAAATAAATGATCAAAAAACTAAATAATTTCAACACTACATAATTTATCTATTTGCATAGACTGTGAAAGTGTTACAATAAAAACATAAAAATGGCCACTTTTGTATGCAGATCTAAAGAAATTAATTATTAGGCATATCCTCATTTTCAAACCTTTCTACATCACCAAATTTTTATATTGTAATATTCCTACAAAAAATGCCCTGGCAAATATTAAGATTTTAGTAGTGAATAAATGATAATAACAAATAATAACAAACCATTTCTATGTATAGCCCATAAAAGTGCTACAATAAAACATAAAAATGGCCACTTTTCTGTACAGTTATGAAGAATTTTCTCATTTTCAAATCTTAAATATTTTGTAATATTCGATAACAATCTCAAACACAAACATGATTTTCCTTAACGTTAATTATTCATTATTGAATAAATGATAACAATAATAAACCATATCTCTATGTAGACCATAAAACTGTTACAAGAAAATTATAAAAATGGCCATTTTTGTATGCAAATAAAAAAGTAATTAATTACCAGGCATGGTAAGAAAATTTTAAGATGTCAGTCTTGAAGAAATGATAACATTATAATAATAAACCATTTCTATGTATAGCCCATAAAAGTGCTACTATAAAAACATAAAAATGACTACATTTGTATGCACATCTAACAAAAGTAATTACAAGGCATTTTCTCATTTTCAATCTTTCATATTTTGTAATATTCAATAAAAATCTCAAAAACAAACATGATTTTTTTCAGCGTTAATCATTCATTATTGAATACATAATAATAATAAACCGTATCTCTATGTAGACCATAAACATACACGAAAACTATAAAAATAGCCACTTTTTTACGCAAATCTAAAGAAAGTATTTATGAAGAATTTTCTCATTTTCAAATGTTTCATATTTTGTAATATTCAACAACCATCTCAAAAACAAACATAATTTTCCTTAATGTTAATCATTCATCATTGAATAAATGATAATAATAAACCATATCTCTATGTAGACCATAAAAGTGCTACAATAAAAACAAAAATAGCCTCTTTTGTACACAAATCTAATGAAAGTAATTACCAGGCATTTCCTCATTTTCAAATGTTTCATATTTTGTAATATTCAATAACAATCTCAAAAACAAACATGATTTTCCTTAACGTCAATCATTCATTATTGAATAAATGATAATAGTAATAAAACCATATCTCTATGCAGACCATAAAAGTGCTACAATAAACACATAAACATTTTTGTATTCAAATCTAAAGAAAGTAATTATCAGGCATTTCCTCATTTCCAAATGCTTCCACATTGCCTAATTTCTATATTGAAATATTCATTAACAATCGTACAAAAATTATCCTGGCAAATTTTAAGATCAGTTTAGAAGAAATGATAATAACAAATCATTTCTATATAAAAAGTATTACAAGAAATCTATAAAAATAGCCATTTTTGTATGCAGATCGAAAGAAAGTAATTCCCAGGCATTCCCTCATTTTCAAACCCTTCCACATCACCAAATTTTTGTATTGTAATATTCATTAACAATCCTACAAAAATACAAAAAAAGATAAAATAATAATAATAAGCCCTATATCTATGTATACCATAAAATTGCTACAATAAAACATAAAAATGGCCACTTTTCTGTACAGATCTAAAGAAAGTAGTTATGAAGCATTTCCTCATTTTCAAATCTTTCATATTTTGTAATATTCGATAACAATCTCAAAAACAAACATAATTTTCCTTAATGTTAATCATTCATCATTGAATAAATGATAATAATAAACCATATCTCTATGTAGACCATAAAACTGTTACAAGAAAACTATAAAAATGGCCATTTTTGTACGCAAATAAAAAAAAGTAATTAATTACCAGGCATGTTAAGTAAATTTTAGGATGTCAGTCTTGAAGAAATGATAATAACTTAATGATAATAAACCATTTCTATGTATAGCCCATAAAAGTGCTACAATATCTCAAAATCAAAAACAAACATGATTTTCCTCAATGTTAATCATTCATTATTGAATACATAATAATAATAAACCATATCTCTATGTAAACCATAAAAGTGCTACATGAAAACTATAAAAATAGTCACTTTTTTACGCAAATCTAAAGAAAGTAATTACCAGGCATTTCTTCATTTTCACATGTTTCATATTTTGTAATAGTCAATAACAATCTCAAAAACAAACAATTTTCCTTAATGTTAAACATTCCTTATTGAATAAAACATAATAATAAGCTCTATTTCTATGTGGACCATAAAAGTGCTACAATAAAAACATAACAATGGTCACTTTTGTATGCAGATATAAATTTATTTCCAGGCATTTCCCCATTTTCAAATGTTTAATATTTTGTAATATTCAATAACAATCTCAAAAACAAACATGATTTTCCTTAACATTAATCATTCATTGTTGAATAAATGATAATAATAGTAAACCATTTCTCTGTGTAGTCCATAAAAGTGCTACAATAAAAAGATAAAAATGACTAATTTTGTATGCAGATCTAAAGAAAGTAATAACTGGACATTTTCAAACCTTTCCCCATCACTAAATTCCTATATTGTAATATTCATTAACAACCTTACAAACATTGACTTACCTGTTTTTACGCACTCAATCCAGAATACGAGATAATAATTATATCATTTCTCTGCGTAGATTACAAAAATTTTAAAAGAATTTCAGATGGTCACTTCTGACCTTTTTATTTCTAGGCTGCCTTTGATTGTGTTGATGGACACTTGGTTATGCTCAAAGCCACCTCTGTTTTCTAATAAAAACCCTCTGCATTCTAAAATTGTTATTTTCACATTCAAGATATATTGTTAGAGGTAATGAAGAGATTACTAACTATTTTCTGGATAGTTCTGGCGTTAGACAGGGCTGTAGCCTGAGTATGTTATTGTTAACTCTCTTTCTCGGCAATCTTCCCTGAATTACGTAATTATGGAAATATTATAATAAAGATCCTTTTGTATATTGCCAATATAATCCTAGCTGACAAACCAGCAGAGCAAAAAAAAAATCCTACTGTGGTAACTTTAATCTTTGAGTGATTATGAGGAAGTATGGACAGGAAACTGTCATCTTTCGGAGAGGAGGCATTGAGTTGCTAATGAGTGCCAGTATTTCAAATGTTCTCCCATTGAAATCGTCAATGAATATTTGGGGTTACTTCTTTCGTTTGTGTTTTGATTCTTTAGTTTGACTTTGTGTCTCTCCACTGTTTAGGGTTTTTGGAAGAAAACAAATGCTTAAGGTTTATTCATGTCATCTTTTGGTCTTTGGCTTAATTTTCACCCCTGAAATTTCACTCATCCCTCACTTGAAACGTCAGATCCACACCGTGACATACACTTTGAATTGTATTTGGCCTAATCTCATCTCTAATACTATCATCCTATCACCTCCCTTCGTTCACCTCTAACTATACATTGAGACCTCAGTTTACCTTATTTTTCTATACTCGTTAAATTTTTTAAAAGGTTCTAATTTTCCCAACCACCGGCTTCATAGATTAATAGCACTAGAGACTGTTAGATACAAAATCTCATGATATCTGGCTTTGGCTCAACAATTTTAGCTCAATGCCCATTTTTCTGAATAATTTTAAAGAACGGCTGTTTTTGCTTTTTAAGCTGATCCAAGGGGATGTCAGTATCCGCAACATGGTAACTCATCACTGATAGGTAAAGGTCCTGGATTGATTGAAGTTTGATTCCATCAGTCGTAAGCTCGAACGCAACATACACATGGGCTTTTCTTTTCAAAATCACCAGCATCTTAGGTTGATATGATTTTTGCTGTCGCAAACCCCTGAAAAAAAAATCCATACCTTTCACACTGACAGGTTGGCTCAATCTCAAAATTGCTCCAAATTCTAACCGTGTAATGTCCTAAATCTTGTTGTTTTATAATACTAAAAAAAATTTCATTCCTTTTGCTCATTGGTTTTTAAAAATAATAAATAGATTTTGCAAAGAAAGCCTGGAGCTAAACGAAAAATTAAATTTCTGTTTTATTTATTAAAGTTTTCCATATTTTATTAATTCATTTTACTCTCCCTTCTTATTTAAAGTTAATAATTTGTTGAAGTCGTGAGAAGAATGAAGTAACTTAGATAAACACCTTTTTAATTTTTTCACAGCGTTTCAACCTTTACTCGGGCCATCTTCAGGGCATAAAGTGTGTTATATTGGTTCAGGGCTATTCTTGTGGCGTTATATTGGTTTTGTGTGAAAGTGTTGTAAAACATTAGTAACGAGATTCCCTGGAAAATCATTTGTGTACAAAATAGTAAATTTAATTGTTTGGATTTTTAAATCTTATTGCCATTTTGATCGCAGTCGATAGTAAACCATTGGCATAGTATCCTTTTATTTTTTCATATTGCAATTATATAGAAATGGTGAAGTAATAGAAATGATAGGGTTGTTAAACGTGTTTAAAAAAAAAAGTTTTTGTAACTCCTTCAACCTGGTGTTGAGTGTTTCATGCTTGAGCCGGATCATTGAAAATAACAAACTATGAGTAAAAACTATCTTTTAAAAAGATTGCAGTTATATTGTAAAATATTATTCTTATTTGTTTAATTTAATAAAGTACTTTTTCAT